AAGGTTGGTGGTTCAAGGTCACCAGTGGCTCCTTGGAAACACTATACAGGGTCGCTAAGGGTCGGAACTGACTCAACGATACTTAACAACACAACAATCCATTCTCCGCACAGTAGCCAGAGTAATCTTTCTAAATTACAATTCTGATAATCTCACTTCTCTGGTTAAAATTCTCCAGTGGCTCTCACATGCTTAAGCACAGTGTACCAGTGTCTTCTCACCTGTCATCATTCTTTCTAGACACACAGAACTACCCTAGATGTGTCCTGCACATCCAGACTTGGTGTTTTTGCAATTGTAGTTCTCGCTACCTAAATACTTTCACCTTGTCCTTTCTGACAGCCTACTCTTACTCATCTAATGACTCAGGTGAGGCATCATCTTCACTGTGAAGCCTTCTTTGACCCTCATCTTTCTACCCAGGAACCTAACTACGTCATATTCTATTTATCTGTAGCCTTATCTATCTCCTCACTTAGACCAGAGATTTTTGCTGCTGTTATCTGAAATTTATACATTTCTACCTTCTGAGGAATCTGTACCTAAACCAAGAAGCAGTTGTTCGAACAGAGCATGGGTACACTGAATGTTTTATATTTTGGAAAGGTGTAAGACAGGGTTGTGTTCTTTCACCATACTTATTCAACCTGTATGCTGAGCAAATAATACGAGAAGCTGGGTTCTATGAAGAAGAATGTGGCGTCAGGATTGGAGGAAGACTCATTAACAACCTGTGATATGCAGATGATACAACCTTGCTTGCTGAAAGTGAAGAGGATTTGAAACATTTACTGATGAAGATCAAAGAGCACAGCCTTCGGTATGGATTGCATCTCAATGTCAAGAAAACAAAAATCCTCACCACTGGACCAATAAACAACATTCTTATCAACAGAGAAAAGATTGAAGTTGTCAAGGACTTCATTCTTCTTGGATCAACTATCAACATTCATGGAAGCAGCAGTCAAGAGATCAGACGACGTATTTATTGCATTAGGCAAATCTGCTGCACAGGAACTTATTTTTTTAAAGTGTTGAAGAACAAAGATGTCAGCTTGAGGACTAAGGTGCACCTGACCCAAGCCATGGTATTTTCACTAACTTCATATGGATGTGAAAAAGCTGGACAGTAAATAAGGAAGATCGTAGAAGAATTGATGCCTTTGAATTGTGTTGGAGGAGAATACTAAAAGTGCCATGGATTGCCAAAAGAACCAATAGATCTGTTTTGGAAGAAGTGCAGCCAGAGTGCTCCTTGGAGGCCAAGATGGCTAAACTTTGTCTCTTATACTTTGGACATATTGTCAGGAGGGAACAGTCGCTGGAGAAGGATGCCATGCTGGGTAAGATGGAGGGTCAGAGAAAAAGAGGAAGACCCCCAACGAGATGGATCGGCCAGGTAGCATCATTGATGGCGTCAAGTATGGCAGCGGTAGTGAGGTTGGCCCAGGATCGGACATTGTTTCGTTCCGCTGTACATGGGGTCGCTATGAGTCGGTTCCAACTCGATGGTACCTGACAACAACAACAACAACCTTTTAAAGATGAGGCTTTCTGCTCCCGTAAAGATTTACAGCCTCAGAAGCCCTGTTCAGGGTCGCTATGGGTTGGAACCAACTCGACGGCACTTAACAACAACAACAACAACCTTCTAATTGAAGTTCTGGTGTGGAGCTATAATCATTTAATAGTGTTGTAGGATCAGCACTAGACAGAGAAATACAAAGTCAGCAGTTCAAATCCACCAGCTGCTCCTCAGAAACCTTATACAGGGTCTCCATGAGTCGAAACTGACTAAACTGCACTTAGCAACAACAAAATAAACAAGCATCTAATAGCAGGACTCCTGGTGTGTCATTCAATGTAGGATAAGCACTAGAATCCAAGTTTGGTTTGAGCCACAAGACTGCTCCTCAGAAACCCTATACAGGGTCGCTATGAGGCAGAACTGACTCGCCAGCACTTTAACAACAAAAACAGAGAAATCTGCTCCCATAAAAATTTACAGTCTCAGAAACCCTATACAGGGCTGCTCTGAATAGGAACTGACTGAACAGTACACAACCACCACCACCACCATCTAATAGGTTGTTGTTGTTAAGTTCCGTCAAATCATTTCCAACTCACAGCGACTCTGTATAGGGTTTCTGAGGAGTGGCTGGTGGGTTTGGACTGCCCACACTGTGGTTCAAACCCACTTTGTGGTCCAGTGCTTTATTCCGCAGCACCACACTACGATCTAATAGGTACTCATCCTAAATGAGGAAGTAAAGCCTTACTGTTGTTGTTAAGTGCCATGGAGTCAGTTCCGACTCATAGTGACCCTCTATAGGGTTTTCAAGGCTTTAAATCTTCAGGGAAGCAGAAGGCCTCATCTTTCTTCCAAAGCAAAGCATAAACTAGATCACATAATTATTTATATTATATTTTATATCCTGCTTTGCCGGCTATACATTTTTTTCATCAAAATATAGGAATGGTGATGACTTAGCTTTTTATTTAAACTTCCAGTATATTTCAAAGTATTATATGTATAGTGGTGGTGGTGGTGATTGTATGCCATTGAGTCAGTTCCAACTCATAGCAACCCTGTATACGGTTTCTGAAACTGTAAATCTTGACAGGAGCAGAAAGCTTCATCTTTCTCTTGTGGAGCAACTGGTAAATTTAAAATACTGACCTTGCGGTTAGCAGCCTGGCTGCTAACTCACTGTGCTACCAAGGCTCCTTATTATATACAGTTGTTGTTAGTATTTTTTGCTTTCTTTAAAATTTGGAAAATATATCTACTGAACAAATATATCCTGATAAAGCATACTTTGATATAATCTTAAATCACATATCAGAACTTAAAGAAAAAGGAGGAAGCTTACCACTTATAATAAGGAAATGCTTTCCATTTATTGAGAAAGGGTGGTGCAGTCATTTGTCAAATGACTACATGGGGGGCTTAATAAAGTTCATGAAAAAAATCCATTAACTTAGAATTCCATTTTTTCAGAAACTTTTTTGAAGTCCACAAGTATGTCATTATATCAAAGTTAATTTTAAAATGAATTACTTTCAATTTAACATCAGTGTCAAGCTCAGTAGTTTGAACTAGTATGTACTTGAATTACTATGATTAACATGAAAATTACCATCAATCTGTCTCTGAGGCAAACCAGCTGTTGGGCAAAGTTCCTCGGAAGACATCAAGCTCAACACCAAAGATGTATTCAGTTCTTCCAAACCTGGTCCAAACATAGCAAATCTTGGTTCATTATGAATGATCAGTGAGTGCAAAAAAGAGGTCACAGCTCCATACATAGGGCGGCTGGATTTCAAGGGTCTTCTTGTATGTGGACAACACATTTTATAGCTGTGTAAAATTGTCACAATTAGAGAATTAACAACAAGGAAAAAAGCATATTTGTACAGCTATTCATTCAACTTTACAATTTGCTGGGGGCCTGCTATCCAAAAGAGATACAAGGGTTACTATACAGCGCCAGCCTATATAGGAGGGCAGTGGATGGCAGATAAACACTATTAAAATAAGCACACCAAAGGCTATGCCAGTGAAAAGCACAGGGTGCTGCGGGTGTGGTCCTGAGGCTTCGGAAACTTTCACTTACTTTCTAATCTTTCATTTAAATCCTCTCACAGAGGAAAAGAGCATCAGGCACTTGTTTAAATGGTTAAGATTTGCTACATAAAGCAGTGGTTCTCAACCTGGGGAATTTTTGTCACTAAGGTATAGAGACAAAAATTGTCACAAGGCAGTGGAGGAGGGGTACAGTATTATTGGCCTCTAGTAGGTAGAGGCCAAGTATGTTTCTAACCATCTTATAATGCACAGAATGTTGTTATTGTTAAGTGCTGGCGAGTTAGTTCTGACCCATAGCGACCCTATATAGGGTTTCTCAGGGGCTGCTGGTGAGTATGAACCACCGACCTTACCTTGCAATTCAAATGGACACTGCAGCCCAGTGCATCAACCCACAGTGCCATACTAGGATTCCTATGCACAGAATAGAATCCCAAAACAAAGCATTTTCTGGCTGAGATTGAGAAACCTTGCACTAAACATACACAGCATAAATGTCCCTGCTCCTGCTGTGTGCTGTCTAGACCATTCTGACTTACAGTAACCCTGTATAAAGTTTCAGAAGCTGTAAATCTTTATGGGAGCAGAAAGCCTCATCTTTCCCTGTGGAGTGGCTGGCAGATTTGAATTGTTGATCTTGTGGTTAACAGCCCAAATCATCACCCACTACACTACCAGGGCTACTTTAAATGTTCCTAGTGGAGTCCTGGTGTGGAACTGTTTAAGATAGCACTAGATCCCAAGGTCACCTGGAAGTGCAAGGTCAGCAGTTCAAACTCACCAGCCACTCCTCCGAAACCCTACACCCGGTAGCTATGATTCAGAAATGACTCCATGGCACTTAACAACAAGTGGAGTCCTGGTGTGTCACTGTAAAATAATCACTAGACTGCTAAACACAAGTTCGGTGGTTCAAACCCACCAGTCACTCCTCAGAAACCCTATACAGGGTCACTCTGAGTCAGAAATGACTAGATGGCACTTAAAAACAACAACCCAATTTTGTAAAAACAAAAAGCTCTGGTCTTTGAACCACAAAGTTCAAGCCCACCAGCCACACTGGGAGAAAGATGAGGCGTTCTGCTTCTGAGAACATTTAAAGCCACAGAAACCCTATACAGGGTGATTATGAGTCAGAACCAAATCCACAGCACTTAACAACAATGACAAGTGGTGTCGAAAAAGAAAAATACCAGGGTCATCGGAAAACGCAAATTAAAAGTCTTAAATTTAATAATTGAGTTAAAAATGTAGGGAGCCTTATTGTTCTTTAAAGATAATATCACCAAACTAAGAATCCTGTGCAAGAGGCAATGAATGCAGCTTCTATCAGTAGTTATAAGTCTCGTAACTAACAATGTCTACACTTTATCAAAATTTAAAACACAGTTACCTAAATCAATAAAACCTGAAGCACTAAAGCCTGGTAACTAAATCCAAGCAGGTAAAAGGCAATGGTTAACACAACAAGGGAATCATCTTTATTTAAGAACTTTGTAACTTAGGAAGGAAAACAAAGACAGCTTTGGAGTTAGGTAGACCTGGATAACTTTTACCACCTCATTTAAATTCTTTAAGTAACTCACAGTGTGAATTTTAGTTTCTTCATCTGCAGTATTAGAGCATTACCAATCCATGGTTTAAAGATTAGAAATAATTTATATGTTCACATATGGCAGTTATTGTTGATTATTAACATTCTCTAGAGAAGGGAGAAGGAGCTCTGATAGCATAGTGGTTACGAATCGGGCTGTGAGCCACAAGGTCAGCAGTTCGAATCTGCCAGCTGTTCCGTGGGAGAAAGATGAGGCTTTCTGCTCTCGTAAAGATTTACAGCCTTGGAAACCATGTACAGGGTCACTATGAGTCGGAACTGACTGCACAGCACTTAATAACAACAATAACATAGTTGGTTGTAGAGTCCTGGTGTGGAGCTGTAGAATAAAGCAATGGACCACAAGGTTGGTTTGAACTACAAGGTTGGTGGTTCAAACTCACCAACTGCTTCTTGGAAATCCTATATAGGGTTGCTATGAGTTGGAACCAGTTCAACTACACTTAGCAACTAGTCAGTTGTGAAGCAAGAGAGGGTACACAAACACTTGATATTATATAGAATATCCAAAACCAACCCAGTACCATCAAGTTGATTCTAACTGATAGTGGCCCTGTATAGGGTTTCCAAGGCTGTAAATCTTTACAGGAACAGAAAGCTTTATCTTTTTCCAGTTGTGGGGCTGGTGGACTTGAACTGTAGACCTTGTGGTTAGCAGTCTAGTGCTTATCCTACAGCAGTACCAGGACTCCTTAAATATAACATCACATGCATTTTGATCAAATAATCTCAAGACGATGTAATCGTATGTGGATTGGAATAAGAAAGTACTCTGAATAACTTAAATTAAAAATATGGGAAAAAATTACTATATGCAGCTACTGAATCTAGTACAGCAAAACAATTCTTACCTAAATCTATTCTTTCAATTTCCTTTGTAATGCCTTTACTTTGGAGCTCTCAGTAAAGCAGGTTATATTCAGATACAATGACATGATACATCTTTGAGGCAGCAAAACAGGCTTCCAATCTGAAAGTCCTTTCCAAACTATATGCCTTTAATAAAATTAAGTGAGCTCTCTGAATCTCAATTCTACATCCATAAAACAAGCTTCTTGTTGTATGAGAATTAAGCAAGTAACAAAGGTAAGGCATCCACATAGAACCTAATACACTATGGGGGTATAGTGACAATTATCTTTTACCTCTATGAGATTTTAAAACAGCAATGCTATTTTTAAAAATAAAATAAAATAATTTTATTTCCCAAATCATTGAGAATGTTTGTCTTTCCTGCCAAAAAACTGCCCTCTGATCTCTGGTCATTCTTATTCTGGATACATAAAAGTATTTGCTATTTAGCAAGATGACAAATGTTCTAAAGATAAAAAATTGTGATCTTTTCATCAGTGCTATTATAGTTATTCAAATAACCTGGCTAGGAACCACAGGAAAATACCAGCATGTCAAAGCTGAAAGGATCTTATGAAGTCACTTAACGCATCCCCCAATTATTATCAGAGGGCACTTAGACCCCAAATCTATGAAGCAAACGAGGAGCAAACAGTAAACTTTTTTTTATGAATGTTCACAACACTAGATACTTACACAGCCATATAGTCAAAAAATGTTCCATCAGTGACTTCAGATATAGGCTTTTTTAAGATTTCTAGATCTGGAAACGATTTCCAATCAACAGAAGGCCAAGAAGGAAGATCTCGCACTAGAAAATATCTCCAAAGAATTGGATCTCGGACAGTTTCATTCCAATAATGATTTGTACTTCCCAACTGACACAGATCATGGGGTGAAAGAAATGACAAAATATACAGTTGTACATCAATCTGAAGCAGAAGAAAGCAGGAAAAAAGTATGAATTATTTACCCTGGAATTTTTTAAAATGATAAATCACAAAATTAGTAGTTTTTATCTTATACTAGGTAACTGAAGGCCAACTAAATGGTCTGCCTTTTTACTAATTAATTCTGTTATTCTGCAGCTATTTCCCTGCTATAAGGGAGAATAAACGAACACATCAATTCTAACACACTGAAACATTTCCGAAAGAGCAAGCAAAATAATCAGTTGACTTAAGGAAGTAATTTATTCTTCAAAATAAACCTCTATCAAGTTGGCAAAGTTCTGGTTTTATCACTTGATCAAATCAAAGTGTGGAAGTTCGTCATCTGAGTTCCTCTACATAGTCTATAAAATTATTGCAAAGAACCTTTGCAAAGCAAGGGCCTTGGAGACACTCTATGCTTGCAGTTTTCAACATCAAGAGTAAGACGTAAAGAGTAAATTTCCAAATTTCTTCTCTCACCATCTTCCCATCTACCTATAAAGTCTAACAATAAATGATGTGTAAGTGGCCTGTCAAAACTTGAGGTACTTGCTACTTCATTAATTTTCAATTATTAAGTGGCAGTTCTATTACTTCAAATGTGATAGGTGATAGCAAGAATACTCGAATGTCTGGGTGGGGGTAAATTCTCAGGGATTGTTTTTGGTGTTTTGATACTAAATACTCCCGCATGTAAGGAGCTCTGGTAGCGTAATGGTTACAAATCGGGCTGCTAACCTCAGGGTCAGCAGTTCGAAACTACCAGATGTTCCGCGGAAGAAAGATGAGACTTTCTGCTCCCGTAAAGGTTTACAGCCTCAGAAACTCTGTACAGGGTCGCTAACTCCACGGCACATAACAACATCTCCGGCATGACAGATGCTGAGCACACAGAAGTTGAATGTTTTCCCAAGCAAACCAGAAAGCCTGCCTGGATTTCCTTAGACAGATGTACATGGTGTCCTAGTCCCAAGTGCCTGTTCTGGGAGGATGACATCTGACGGTGGTCTGGCTGGTCACGGTGGCAACCCAACCCCGCCACTAACGGGTTGGCGTCAAGGAGTTTCTGGTCAACGGCTGCTTCCAGGAGACTACATTGCCCATAATGGCTGCAGGGTCAAGGCTAGGGACAACGGGGACGCAGGTAAGTCCCAGTCCCACCCCCTCAGGCATCCTAGTGGGGTTGCCCTCTTCCGCGGTGGGGTGACGCTCACCGGCAATCTTTTAAGGGTGCTGGCCTCCTCATCCGCTTCCTCCTGGGAAGCCGCCGGTCCCGCCCTCTCCTTGCCCACCGACTGCCAGAAGGTTCTCCAGCCGCTGAGGATGGCGGCTTCTAGGCGACTCCAGTCACTGTGGGGCGTCTGCTGAGAGCTGCCTCCGCAGCGCGGATCACTTCCCGCCATGGCCGCTAGCGCCGCACAGGACGCGCCCTAGGCTTGCGCCGGCGCGTCGACTCCCGGCTCCTTCCTGCCACCGTCACCCCTTCCCCCAGGCTCCCTAGTGGGGCCGCCTCCAGTCCTCGCAGAGCCTGGAAGCCGGCAGAGTTTGGCCCAACAGGGCGCAGTTCACAGCTCCAGCCAACAGCTCCCCTTTCACTCTGGCCACCAGCCATTGCTATAATATCTCCTGCTCCTTTGATTCTTCCCGACTTACCCAGACTGTTCCCTGTCTGGGATCCATTTCTACTTTGCCTACTCATTCAATATATGGCCCTCTTTCACTATGTTGGACTTAATTACCAGTTGTTAGTTCTACAATACTACGTTTTTGTTTTTGTTTTTAAAGTTTGTTTTCTGTGATCCTCTAGGGATTATATTATTTCTTAATATCCTTTTAAAGACAGGCAGGACAAAGTGAGTAGAATGGACTTTGATTCAAGCGATAAAAACTCACTAGTTAGAGTTCAACAATACCACAGCCGGATGTCTTTATTGTAATCATATTTTGCTGTCATTTTAAAGCATCCAATCCATTCGTTCGGCATTTTTTGTTGTTGTTGTTGTTGTTTTAAATGTACTTTTTCTCATATGGTGGACCTAGACTGCATTCTGGCATAAGGTCCTTTATGACTGCGCATTTGACAGGCTCAATGTTTTACTAATCCCACAGAAAACAAACCTGGTGTGGAGCTGTAGGATAAGCACTGGGTCACAACGACTGTTTGAACCGCAAAGTTGGCAGTTCAAACTCATCAACTGCTCCTCAGAAACCCTTTACCAGGGTTACTGTGAGCAAGAACCAACTTGACAGCACTTAGCAATAAAAACAAAAAGATAATTTCTTAAGTGAAACTGGATGGCCTCTACTCATAGGAAGGAGACACCATACTGATTACATGTTGTTGTTGTTAGGTGCCAACGAGTTGGTACCAACTCATAGCAACCCTATGCACAACAGAACGCAACACTGCCAGATCCTGGGTCAACCTCACAATTGTTGCCAAACTTGAGCCCATTGATGCTGCCACTTTTCCAATCCATCTCACTGGGTCTTTTTCTGACTCTCCACCTTACCAAACATGATATCCTTCTCTAGCGACTGGTCCTTGCAGACAGTATGTCCAAAGTATGAGAGATGAAGTTTGCCCATCTTGGTCTCTAAGGAGCACTCTGGCTGCACTTCTTCCAACACGGATCTGTTAGTTCATTTAGCAGCCCATGGCACTTTCAATATTCTCCTCCAACATCATAACTCAAAAGCATCAATTCTTCTATGGTCTTCCTTATTCACTATCCGGCTTTTACATTCATATGAGGTTATTGAAAATACCATGGCTTGGGTCAGGTGCACCTTAGTCCTCAAGTTGATATCTTTGCTCTTCAACACTTTGAAAAGGTCCTGTGCAGCAGATGTGCCTACTGCACTAAGTCATTTTCAAATAGATTGTTTTACGGATCATAATGTTATAGCAGCTCTAAATTCTAGATTGTTAAAGCAGCTCTAGGCCCGCGAGTGTCACGGCAGCTCTGGATCCAAGAGTGTCACGGAAACTCTGGATCCGAGAGTGTCACGGCAGCTCTGGGCCCGAGAGTGTCACGGCAGCTCTGGGTCCGAGTGTTACGGCAGCTCTAGGCCCGAGAGTGTCACGGTAGCTCTGGATCCAAGAGTGTCACGGCAGCTCTGGGTCCGAGTGTTACAGCAGCTCTAGGCCCGAGAGTGTCACGGTAGCTCTGGGTCCGAGTGTCACAGAAGCTCTGGATCTGAGAGTGTCACGGCAGCTCTGGGTCTGAGTGTCACGGCAGCTCTGGGTCTGAGTGTCACGGCAGCTCTGGGTCCGAGAGTGTCACGGCAGGTCCTTTTCCATCATCAAAGAAACCAAGGCCACTCAGAAAGGTGAAGCAGAATTTCAGATTTTATTAAGCCGGCTGGCTCAGAGGAGCTAACTTCTCCAGATTCTGAGCCCCGAATGCAGGTCAGCACGGGCTTATATGGGGTCAGAATCGAGGAGGGGCTAGGTTGTGGACCTGTTTGAGGACAGGAGGGAAACCAGAAGATTGGTCCTGCTCAGTAACCTGATCAGCATTCTAACTTGTCTCCTGGGCGGGGAGGAGGCAGTTAATGTTTTACCTTCCCTGTTCAATAAAAACAACACTCTGCTCCAAAACTAGATCTCTGTTCTTAAAGGAGTATTTCAATTTAATACGATATTGTTGGTAAGTTGTTGCTAAGTGCCATTGAGTTGGTTCCAACCTATAGCGACCCTTCATAGAGTTTTCGAGGAGTGGCTGGTGAGCTTGAACCACCGACCTTGCGGTTCAAACCAACTTTGCAGTCAAGTACATTAACCCAGTCAATCACTACACCAGGACAAAGATACAAAAAATTTAAAGCAAATCTCTAGAATTACCCCCATAAAGAGCCAGGTGTATTGATTGTTACTCCATAAAAACGGAAATTACTTACTAATCAAAATAGTCTTGCTGAGGCAAGCAGCCAGGTCCCCTGAGTTCAAACCCCCTTCCAAGACTGACACTGAAGGGGAATACACGAGCAGGCACGTGGTCTTGCTGGTGACCATGTTGGTCTACTGAAAAGGGAAGTGGGGGAGAAACTGCAACAAAGTTGTGAGCTAAGTCCGACCATGTTCAATTGACTCCTGTCAACCTGGTTGAGACCTGGTTGGCCAGCAGTGTGGTGAGACCTGGGGACTCCTGGGCCCAGTGACAGGGACATCACCACAAAGGACTAGAGCAGAGAGTGAAGCGTCCAGCTGATATGAAGTGAGGGGAGATACACAAGAACATCCATACTTGCATATATACCTACTTGACCTGGCTTCAATGGCTGGATGATCAGAACTCGACTAGAGGAAGAAAGAAGAGGAAAAAAAGAGTAAATCCGTTACAATTTGATGAGCTTGACCTAGACTTATGGATGTAGTAGCTTAAAAGTTGGAACGAATCTGTACAGCAAGGATCATTCCCACCCCCACGGCACACAGGGTTAACATGGATGGGCAACTCAGACATTGACTACCCAAAATAAGGGAGCTACAAAGGCAAGAAGTGACTGGTTTACAAGCTTTCAAGCAGAAGCCTAGTTCCAGAGGGTATGGGGGAGGGTAGAATCTCCACTGAGTGGTTTCCAACCTGTCTGGACAGGGCTGGTGAAAGGAGATGGGGATTAGACTCTTATGGTTCAATAGTGAATAATTGCTATCAGGACTGAGTGTTGCAAATGTAAAGGTAGATGTTTTGTAAAAAAAAGGGGGATGGTTGGTCTTGCAGTCTAGGAGCAAAGGACCCTGGGACCATCAAAGGAGAGAAGCAGAGTGCAGGACCCAATCCAGAGAAGTAGCAACACCAGCGATGGAAGCAGAGACAATGACGTGGAGAATGCAGCAGCTGGAAATTTTGGACTCTGGGAAGGCTAGGGGTTATGTGCTGACAGCCAAGGGACAGGCTTGCGGGGTATACCCTTTGGTTATTTGAATGGTTAGATATTCCTGAGTGCTTTGGTGTACATCCCCCTCACACACACAAAAAAACCCACAAACAAAAACAACCAGAGAGGATGGAAGCAAATGCTGTTGAATGATGAGGTATGGAGGGAATTGTAATCATTGCAATGAAACGAAATACGATAGGATGAGTGTAAAGCTGATGTTCTCCCATATAAACTATCACTCAATTCACAATAAAAACTTTTAAAAAGTCTTACTGTTATTGAGTGCCCTCCAAGGAGTGGCTGGCGGGTTTTACCAAGCAACCTGGCAGTTACCAGTCCAGTGCTTATCCTATATCCATGCCAGACTATACCATTATTACGCCTAAAAACCTTAATAATTCTTTTAACTCATCATGTACCAAATCAGTGTTTAATCTCTCACTTCTTAACGCATATTTTTTTTCACATTTGGTGTGATTGAATCATGACTAAAACAAGGGCCATTTGTTTGTTTTTATTTTCCCTTGCAACTTGTTAAACTAAGACACTGGTTCTAATTGATCCAATTCTGTACTTCCTTGATGACATCCTGTAGTAAAATGAATTATGGCTCTTCTACCATAGTAACTTTGTACTATGGGACCATGCAAGTAGGGTGCATTACTTTAGTTTTGCCATTCTGCTAGATTTAAAAGGAGCCATCTTAGAAGCAGCAAAAGATGATCCCAGGACCATCAAGAAAGATGAGCTATGTACGGTGTTGAAAAGCAGTAGCAGCAGGGGCTATGGCTTGGACAGAGCAGCTGGCTTCCTGCGCTAGGCTGGCTTGCAGATGGGATGCTTTGGGGGCATTTATCAGCAGCACTAAAGAAGCTTGTAACACTTGCCAGAGCAGGACTGAAGCCAAAGGGACCTGTGACTGAAATGTTGAGGAAGATGATGAAGTGTGCCTGCACTGTAGTACAGCTGAGAAGAGACATTACTAACCAGAGAACTGCTGTATTCTGCATCGTTTCTGATCCTCAATTACACTGTTAACTTCCCTAAACCACACAATGATGAGTGTTGTCTGAGTTCTGTGTCCATTGCAACCATCGAACCCAGCAAAGCATATACCATGGGAGGAAAGGTGGTGTCATGTCCGACTTACTCTTTTTAAGAACTGGCCTTGTTGTTAAGTCTTTGAGTCAGTTTAAACTCATCACGATTCTGTGGAGGGTTTCCATGGAGTGGCTGTTGAGTTTGAACCTCTGACTTTGCAGTTCAAACCGAATGAGCGGTCACTGCTGCATCCATGAATATTGGTTGTGTATTGAAGTAAAATGAAATCCTTTACAACTTCAACTTTTTCTTCAGTTGAACATGATGTTACTTATTGGCCCAGCTATGAGGATTTTACATTGAACTACAATCCACAGTGAAGGCTGTTGTCTTTGAGCTTCATCAGTATCTCAAGACCTCTTTGCTTTCAGAAAACAAGGTTGTGTCATATCCATATGGCAATTTGTTAATGAGTTAT